GACACACACACACACACACACACACACACACACAAGCTCACAATTGGAGGAAACAGAAACAGGAACCAAGGAGGTAGCATTTTTTTTCTAATAGTTGTTAAAATATACTAGTGAAAATGCTCTCAAGTCAAGTTAAACTGCAGGTGACTAGATGGACATGCATTTCAACTTCCCAGTATAGCCTACAGACCTTGGGTTTCATGTGGTTCTCCAAATACTAACCAGATCTGTCCTTGCTTCCCTGTTTACAACTTCAGACAAAACGTCCAGGTGTTGCCACTTGCTGTCACTTTTATCATGGCTGTATAATTACAACATTTCCTCTAACATATTTAATATTAATGATAATATTTATGTATATGATTGAACCTTGAAGTAGTTATGCAAAGCAGCCAATAAGAATATATAAAAATGAATGAAATAATAGTACATTCAGTGAGTTTTATCAGTAAAATTAGTGACATATTCAGAATAAGGAATAGTTGCTTTATCTCTTAAATTTCTCCTGAGGATTAGTTCAGAAATAAAGACATTTTTAAACTTAGAGGAAAAGGCTAAGGAACTGCAGGTTGCGCAAAAGACAGCAACACATGCATTCCCATGAATCAACTAGAGTGACTTTCTATGTTATGCAAACATGCTCTGTGCCTAGTCAGTACACCAAGATAACAAACCAGGCGTCAGGTTTTAATTTCTAAATAACAAAATTTAATTGTAATAAAGAAGACCACCTTGACATAACTTTAAATTTACAAGTGGAAACTTGACACCTACAAATAACTATAACAGGTTGAAATGAACTGCTTGTTCAGATATTAGTCCAACTCTCTGATCGTGTCAAGTAAAAAGAAAAATATGTCTGCATTCCAGTGAAAAATTAAGTAATAAATGTCATAAAACTCAACAGCTGCAGAGGAGAATGGAGATAACCTTGATGAAGAATGCAAGAATTACTACAAGAATTACTACAAGGAAGTAAATAACAAAGGAGAAGGCATGAGAAAGAAACTCAAAACAATCCGAACTTGATTCTGTTTGGTATAAGAGGGGGCAGAGGAATATTCTGGCAGGCTTTCAGGATTCTATTATTATACCCTACAACAGTAAAGTGGCATTTCTGAAACTCTTGCTGTTTGTTTCCTGACCTCGCTGACCTCAGACAGCTGACAGTAGCTCTTATCTCCATTCAAACATTTAAGAAATCTGAAGAAATGCATTTAAAAAGGCAAATGCTGATGCAGTTATACTCAGATCTTGAACAATACATTGACATAGTGCTTTTTCTCTACTTTAGCTCAAATATTTTTTAAAAAGTCGTCTTACGTAAGAATAGTAATCTTATCAACCATACACATAGCAGAATCTTAAATGTTCTAAAACAGATCACAATTACAGTAGAACAAATGCTTACACTCTGAATTACATGATAAGGAAATTTTTCAAAATTTTATTTCATAGTTGAACCAGAGTTCCAAAGTTCAAAGATAAAGATTTATTTTAGCCCTGTCCTAAAAAGATTTGGAAACACCATTATAGAGTGTATCAACTCTGTTTTTCAGCCATCATCATGAAGAAAATTCTATGCTATAAACATTCCCCATGCCAAATCTAAAGCAGGCGTTAACATTTGATTTGGATATTCTTTGAAAAAATTATAAAACTAACTACATGTTACCTGTTTCCTGTTGAATCCTGAGATATGTCTAAGTTTGGAATTACAGAAGAAACACCATATTCATCTTGATACTTCTTACATGATTTATAATGCTGTCTCATACGAGAGAATCTAATCTGCAAATGAAGATATATTTCATTTAGATTTTAGAATACTGATATGAAAAAAAAAATTCAGAAAGCTAGTTTAGTGTTGTGGTTAAGAGGTTGGGAGAGACTAGCAACTGGGAAACCATGAGTTCTATTCTCCCTTAGGCATGAAAGATGGCTGGGAGATTTTGGGTCAGTCTCTTTCAGCACAACTCACCTAACAGGGTTATTGTTGTGAGAAAAACAGAAGTCAGGAGTATTAGATATGTATGCTATCTTGAGCTGACCAAAAACAGGTAGGATAATAAATAAAAAATAATAATCTCAAAGAGTAGATAAGAGTATATCAAATCGTTTATGCAATTTTGGGGTGCATCCAAGTGCGTCTATTTGCTTTTGAACCGCTGATAGACTGGATTTGCTTTCTTCCCAATAATCCCAAACTTGCTCTACAAGTTTGGGAGATCCTCTGGATTAAATAAGTATGCATATATTTGCAACAATTATCCACTTTTAAAAGTAACTATTTTGCATCTACTATACCTGTTTTTCACAGCATCTACAACTCCCCACCAACTTCTTCATGTTGTTTTCAACATCTAAGGCCCTGTTGGGACGGGCCTTTTCTTTTCTGGTTACAATGCCTCGACATAATGGACAGTGTGTTCCACCTTCTTTCATAGCCATTAAGAAACATTTCCTACAAAATCTTAACCAAATATAAAGTGGCAGTGAATGATAGGAAAGAAAATGGCAAATCAGAGTCAAAGAAATGACATTCTCTAAGACAAATCATCACCATCTTAATTTCATATATATATTGTGATGGGACCTACGCTAATGGAGGCTAATCAGGAAAGATGTGATAATAATCATCAATTTAAATGTGTAAAAAAGAATTAGATTCTAGGAGAACATCAATGGCTATTAATCATTATTAGAAGCAGAAAATATGTCAGCCCCACTAGGTAGACCAGACCAGAAAATCAATTCCACAGCAAGGCTAAAGCTACTTTTATTGAGATTAGCTATAACAGAAACCTGCAAGTCTGACTGTGCTGTATCTGCTCCTCCTTCTTATATTTCAGTGAATTAGGGGGGTGTCTGCCCGAGCTGCTTCCAAATATTATCTTGTAGTTTTGGACTTAAAAAATGTTTCAGCCCCTTTTGCCTAGGTAACAGTTCCTGCATATTTCTGTTAAGGTCATCTTCTTTATTCTCTACAATACCTCTAAACTTGCAAGGAAACAACAGAAAAAGAGTTCCTTGTGTCCTGGTTGGCCACTGTTAGAAATTGTTCCATACCAGCATATAAGAATGCTCACATGATATGCTAAAGCAATTTTACACTAACCATAGAAAAAATACTAATTCATAGGTCCCATGGCAGTTACAGTTTGCTGAATGCTTCTTTTTGGATGGTATCTCAGTTATGTTTGTGGTGACTGAGCAGCTCACATTTCCTGGTTTTGTTTTTCAGACATAGTAATAACACCAGTTTTAAGCCCTGAGTTGGTTCTATCAAGATTGGATCCACTAGCATGATGCCCTTATTTCATGAACCTTGCCAAGGGGATATATAAAAAAATGTAGGAGCAGCAGAGAGGGTGCAGCTGAAGCAGTCCCATTTTTCAACCATTTTATGCCTCAATTCAGCACCTTGAAACTGGAATGAGTGGAAAAGGAGTAATATTACTACTGTAGACATATTCTATCAATAAAAAGGAAGAGTGGGAGGGAAAGAAGAAAAACACTGAAAAATGGGTTAGTCAGATACCTACACATGTTGACAAATGGAAATCCTGACAGGTGTTTTGAACACATCTTGGCAGACAGGACAGTAATAATCATCTTCATTGAAACAAATTGTGGCAGGTTCCTCATTCATGACAGCAAACTCTGGTATTTCTGAAAGAATAATAATAATAATGCAACTATACCAGATACTTAACACACACACACGCTATAGCATCTTGGATAGATAGAAACAGGCAGTGTATAAAACTACAATTAATTGATCATGAGTAATGACTTGGGGGACACACAAGATTTCTCAGGTTGGTTCTGCAATGTGAGAAATTATAGCTCTTCTAAGATTTGGCTATTTCAAAACGCAGTGTGGTGATTTGAGAATTGAAAATGAAGACTGAAATAATATATGATTGTAGCATGGGTAGTTTGGTACAGCTTATCCACCATCACACTGGACTTTTTCACCTCTGCTCTGGAATCTGGGGAAAAAATAGACAGCTTCAACAGCCTGAATCATCATCTCTTTCAAATTTCTCTTTTGAGCTTCCACTTCCCTTGAAATCTATTTTCTTACAGAACCCTTGGCACACATTTCAGTCATCCTTGTTGGAGCCTTGCATTCTGTCAGCCACAGGGCTTTTTTAAGGCTAGCTCCATAACATTTGCCTTTTTCTATTCTCTCTTGCCCTTTAATAGTTTGCCTGGACTTTGGGAGACCAAAAATCTAGGCTGTAACTCACATTGGTTTGGCCCTAAACCCACAGAATATAGAGTGAAGCTTTTTCTTTCTATTTTACTAAAAGTAAACAGGACTCGACTTGGCCTTGTGCTGCTTTCCGTTTCTGGACGTTGTTCTCTCTTTATGGCGGCTTGTGTGTGTTGCTAAATTTTAATGGAATGTTGACATTCCTTCTCGTTTTGGAATTTGACTAGGAAACTTCTAAGTTGGAACAGAGGGTTGAAAAATTAAAAAACAAACGGAAGCTCCTGTCACGCCATCAAGGGGGTAAGAGGCGCGCGAGCGTGCAGAGGAATCGCCTGTGCGCCGGGGGGAAGCCCCAGGAGCGGGATCCCGAGCCACGCGCCCGAAGCCTCAGCCTCTCTTCGGCTCCGTCTCTCGCGCTTCTCAGGTCTCGGTCGGGCGAATCCTCCCTGAAGGGTGCCCGCCCTGAACCTCCAGGTGCCGCCAAGAGCTACCGCCACTACCTGTCGAGAGAACGGGAGGGTCGATCGCAGGCCTCGGGACTGGGCCGGGATCTTCAGGGCTCCCGGCGGCCAAACCGGTCAAACTACCACCGCTCTCCATAGCTGTTAGGCCGCCGCCGTGGCGGCCTAGTCCCAAGAGGCGGGCCCAGGTTGCCATGGCAATAACTCCCCCCTCCCGTCCGGCGGGCATTGTTATTGAACAAGAGTAGCTGCCGCTGCCTCCCTCGGCCCCACGAGGGGCGGCGGGAAAGCCGCGTTTCGCTGCTCGGCCTTGTCGCGCCCGAGCTAGCTGGCCCAGAGCTCAGTTGTAGCCCTGTGTGTCTAGCAGCAAAGCCGAATGGCTTCGTGATCCGCTTCCTCACCACGGAGATGCAAGAACCAAGCTCAGAACACCGTCAGACAAGAAGCGCCCTTCGAACGTTGGTGGGAAATGGGAGCTCTTTTCCCGCCCTCGTTTCTGCAACGATTCTGCTGGGCCACAGCCTGTGCCTCTTTATGTGCGAGGAAGCCCTAGTGAAGATAGTGAGACTTGCGGGTAGATAAAAGTACACCGGATGGCATAATAAGCCCTGCCCAAGCTATGGTTCCTGAGCGTTCGGTGAATAAGGTTAATCATTACATCAAAACTCTCCTGAGTTGGGAAACTTTTCTTCATATTGGGTTTTAGTTTCTTGGAAGAGGCCTTGGAGCAAATGACTGTATTTCTTATCTGGGCCCCGAAGATAAGCTGGAAGTATAGCCGCTGTTCATACTTAATTCAATCTCTGTTTAACTGCTTTACCCATTAATGGTAGAAATAATTAAGATGCTAAATTACGCTGCTTTTATGCCGGGTTATCGACCTCTTTCCTCCCCTCTGCCTCTTGTAAGTTCAATAGATGACATTGTTTTACCTGCTGGAACTTTATTACGTGGTTGTTAAGAGAAAGATCCTACGGGTTGGTAGACTTGGGAAGTCTAAACCACCCAGGTCTATCCTTTCTGTTTCTTTTTCTGGGCCAACCCCAACTGATTAAGCGAGCATGAGATTTTCTCCTATTGTTACATTGGCGATTTGTACTTTGGCAGTGAGGCTCTGGATAAATGTCAAAAGCGAACTCCGGTTTATCATAGGTTAGACCAATGTTTTTGAAAAGCCGCGCACAGCTTTTGGGGAGAAAGCATCCTCTGTCATCCCTCGCCTGCCATAATACAGCTTGGAGCATTGCAACTGCCTCCTCTAACTGCGGCTTGCACGGTAAAATGGCTTAGCATTAGGACTTGACCTCTGGGCCAAAACGCAGCAGTCTGCAGCCTAGAAAGCCACCAACTGACCATCCCGAGCTATGGCAGGTGAGGGATAGCTACAAGCAAGTCTAATATTAAATGTTAATGTAATAAGGATACATTGGAGCTGTTTTTTTGCTTGCATCTTTTTTTGAAGAGCGCTTCATAGTCAGAAGGCAGCTGACTGGACAGTTACAGATGCTTACTGTGCCGTTAAATCCAAGTAAGTAAATTAGTTAACTGCACCAGTGTATGCCAGGAAACATGGTTTTGCAGAAGAAAAGACCGCTGAAGGAGGTAGGAAGGATAGTTATCAAAACATGAGTTGAAAAGGTGGTTGCCTTTAATATACAGGTAAGATGCACCCAAGCGTTAGGTAAAAGGTAATTGACGAAACTGCAGATTTTGGGTTCAATTGTACATCTTATAAATTGTTTATAATTCAGAAAATGGACAGTGCTTATACAGTAATCGTAGACCTTTTACTCCAAGATTTACTTCCCTTTAACTGAAATGTGTATGTAAATGTATCTTTGGAATTTGTACTGAAATTTGTGATGTGAATGATGGAGGCCTGTGTATATGTACTTATGACTGACTCTCTGGTTTTTAAGGGGGAATAAGATCTATTTATCTTATTCCCTCTTAAAAACCAGAGTAGTTCTGAACTGAATGCCTGCCTTACAGCTTGACTAGGTTCATATAATAGATTAATCCGAAACCAAACCACATTAGGGGTTACTGAGATGTGTGAATACTGTCGCTAAGTTGTGTTAGAAAGGCCTTTGCTTGGTCAAGGTTTTTCTCATTCATAGAATCTTAATGGGTGATTATGTGCCATCAAGTTGCTTTTGAGTGACCACATAGATTTTCCCCATATTTTATCCAGGTGGTTTTCTAGGTAAAAATACAGGAGTGGTTTACCATTGCCTTATCATTTTATGGGGTAGAAAATGATAATACCTTCCTGTTTTCCAATTGTTAGTTTTTTTCCTCAACAAAAAGAGAGGGAAGAAATGAAAGTAAGTTAGAATAACTGAAAAATATTCAGTTGATAGCAGTAAGAGATACTTCTGGAAACAGCTTCTCAGTTTAATGGAATTTACTTTTTTGACAGTTTGTATGGTATTCATACAAATTATACTGAATAACCATGCAGTTCTATGCACATTTACAAATAAATTGAAAATATGACTCAATCCTCTCAAAAACCTTGCTGTACTTTATTTCTTATTTTTGCGTATTTAACTAAAAAGATATGCCAGATGTTCAAGCTTGCTTTAGAAAAGACGAGGGAACACAAGATATTGCTGATGCATACTGGGTAATTGAGAAAGCTAAATATCAAAAAGAAGTCAGTACAATATATGCTTCATTGTTTATAGATTGCCGTTTGATTATGTTGATCATGTCAAACTCTGGAATGTGCTTAGAAAAATAGGAATCCCAGAACATCTCATTGTCCTTATGAGAAACTTATATACAGGTCAGGAAGCCACAGTATAGACAGAACATAGTAAAACAAATGGCTCCAGACTGGCAAAGGATGAGACAAGGCTGTATGTTCTCCCCTTATTTATTCAACTGATATGCTGAACATACATTAAGGGAAGCTGGCCTGGAAGAAGATGAGCATAGTTTTAAAACTGGGGGAAGAAACACCAATAACCCATGCTATGCTGATGACCCTACCCTGATAGCTAAAAAGGCAAAGGATCTGCAAGCTCTAGTAGTAAAAGTCAAGAGGCAGAGTGAAAAACTGGGACTAAAATTAAATCTAAAGAAAACCAACGAATGACAACAGGTAGAACAAGCAGCCTTACAACTGACAATGAAGATAGTGAAGTGGTGGATAGTTTCTGCCTTGATCAACCATCAACAGTAAAGGAACAAGCAGTCAAGTAATACACTACAGACTAGCACTTGGTAGAGCAGCCATGAAGGACTTGGAAAAGATATTCAAATGCTGTGATAGATCTATGCCTACAAAGTTCAGAATAGTGCAGTAACGGTATTCCCTGTGACAAAATATGAAAGTGAAAGTTGGACTTTAAAGAAACAAGATAGGAAGAGTATTGATGCTTCTGAACTTTAGTTGTTGGAGAAGACTCCTGAGAATACTGTGGACAGCTAAGAAAACAAGCAAATGGATCATCAAATCACCCGAGTTCCCACTCAAGGCAGAATAATAAGGCTCAAATTATTCTACTTTGTACACATTATGCAAAGACCTAGCTGTCTGGATAAGGCTGTAATGCTGGGCAAGGTGGAAGGAAAGAGAAGAGTATGACTAGTAAAGTGGATGGACTCAGTTACACTGGCTATGATTGCACTGTTGGAAGATCTGAAAAACCAGGTTAGGGATAGATTATCATGGAGAAAATCTATCTGGTTGCTAAGACCCAACAACAGGCACATGATCAAATGTTGCATTTTTCTCAGTTGCCTTTGTTTTTCAGTCTAAATTTTACTTGCTTTTGAATGTATCCTTTTAATTATCTTGGAATTTACAAGATAACTTTGAAGCTCTTTCTCTCTATTGCAGAGGAAAGACTTATTGTCATAATCAACAATAAAGCAGTTTCTTTCCCCAAAAGACTTGTCATCTGTTCTCTCTGTACTGAAAAATCAATGGTTTTAGTGTCAACCAAATGAAGATACATGGATGTTTCTTTTCAGCCATCAACAATCTGGAAAGAACAACAAAGGGCTGTTACTACTTAGTTCCACAAACAGTAAATACTATCCTATGATATGCCAATTGCAATGGCAAATAATTATGTCCCAGCTGCAACAAAATATTTAGCAGTTAGGTCATTGGCCATATGGTACATGATGCACAAATTTGCTATTATTGTGATTTTAGTTTCCTTTAAACAATCCAAGCTAAATATACAATTTCATGCTCGTACTCACATTTTCCTTAATTTTGTTATTTTGATCAAAATCAAATTATTTTGGTCTTTGACCAGACTAGAGTAACATAGCAGAATAAGATCAGTAACATTTATGAGTGCCTATGGACATTCCCCAATTACTTTTATAAGATTATACGCCCCACATAGGTCTTCTCCCTAGCCCAGATACATGCTGTCCCTACTAGGATGACAGCTAGTCGATATGCCAACCTTCCATATGAAAATAGATTTATATTTGCTCGAACATAGAGATTGAGTCTTTCACATATTCTTTTAAAGTGCCTACTGTACTTGTACTGGTGATTGGAGCTAATACATCAGCTCTGGAGTCTGATAAACTCCACTCATGATGAGGAGATTGAAGTGTTCTTGCTAAATGATCAATATCCAGGTGTTTCAAAGGCAGCACAGGTAATCCTTATTTAGCAACCACAATTGGGACTGGCAAGTGAAGCAATCACTAAGTGAAACTGACTATGATCTTACTTCAGCTTTCCTTTGCTTTACAGACTGAAGGTTGTAAATGTGATTGGTTGCAGAGTTTTCATCACCATTGTAACTGCAAATGGCCGCTGTACAAGGCAGTCACTAAATGAGGACTACCTGTAGCAAAAATTTTAATCATAGCCTTAGCTTATAGAAAATGTTAGGTGCCTTCAATGAATTGTTAACTTTATAGGGTTTCTTCCTTTTATATGTGTATGTACTGTTACTTCTATATGTATTAATGGTATGCTGTACTTTTAAATTCTGTGACTTGGTCCTGGACTGAAAATAAATAAATTTATGGATAAAATAGTGTTAAAAGTACAGTAAGGCAAATAAAGGTAATGAAAAAATATAATCAAATTGAATTATTCCTGACAAGATCTTGCCAGCTATTAAACAGAACTTGGTGACATTACAAGAGAGTATATCATTCTGATGAGTTAGGAGGTAACTAAGGTAAAAAGAGTCAGTGCAAGCTAAAACCTGACGTGATAAAGGTGTAGTAAGTTCATATCACAGTTCATGGTAACATTGACAATAAAGTACATGACTTGTTTCAATAGCTCCTGATTTGCAGTGACAAAGGCATTGATTGTATGGGATTTTCTGGAATCTATCTTCCAAAATCACAGTTTATAAAGCATTGCAGTGTGCAAGTGTGAGAACTCTTTAAAATGTTAGTATAGCAACTTGATTGAGGTGTCTGACAGGCTTATGTCTGGTGACATCAATGGGGATTAGGCTTTTCTCAGTTGTTCAGTATCTGTTGTCTGATATTTTTCTGGTAGAGTCATACTCCATTGTGATCAAAGCTGAGGGGAGAAGCCATAATAATGCAGCTTCTCCTCCTGCCCCCTTTTCCATTTTGTAATGAAGAGGTCATCTAACACCCGTGGAGCTAAGTTACAGGAAAAGTTACAAGTTTTAGTCAGAATTCAAAGATACTAATCCATACACTGGCTTCAACTTTAAGGAGTCCTGCTTCTGTATGAACAGCAGCATTGGACGTGCACAGAGGCACTTGAAGGAATTTTCCTAGGAACACGGGCTTGGACAGACTCAATCTTCAAGAAGTTTATATGCCAAGTTGTGCCCCATAAAGCAACTACACTTAAGCCTTTGCTGAGAGTTTTATTGTAGCAGGTACAAACTGGGCAACTCGAGAGAAGTAAAAAAAATTTAGATGGCCAATACTTATTTCAATACATTTTGTATCATGTAGTCTCTACGAGCACATCTTCTCCCTGATGCCTAGAATATTATTCCAAGGGATTTGTAATTTGTTCCGAGCTGTGCCCATTTAACATCCAATTTTGCATCTTTGTTCTTTTTACAAATACCATGATCTTAGTTTTATCATAGCTGATTTCTAAGAGCTGTTTGTCACAATAGGAAACAAGAGTGCACAATGCTGTTCTCAGACCTACTGAAGTTTAAAAGAGAATTACTTATCAGCCTATAGGAGTGTTCCAAGATTTGCAATTTTTGGTGGATGGTAGCCTAGATCAGTGTTTCTCAACCTCCAAGAAGGAGGTTGAGAAACACTTCACAAACTTCACAACCTTCCCCAATGCTGACTGGGGAATTCTGGAGTTAAAGTCCACACATCTTGAAGTCGCTGAGATTGAGAAACACTGGTCTAGATCATCTTCGTGAGCAATCAGTGGGTTAATGCAGAAGTTAAACAGCAGCCCAACACCTTTAAAAGTGGGAATTTCTTTAGTAAAGTACCCTTGGGTACTGCATCAGATCCGTAAGTAGGCATTTTCATATAGTCTTGACATCAGGAGAAATAGACATTGATCAATTGTCAATGACAACAATTTGTGCCAAAGTTTCTCCCTCAAAATCAGGTCAAATGCAGATCTTAAATCAGTTTAGAAGTTATTTACTGGGACAGTGTAAAGATTGGGTGTAGAACAGAATGGCTTGGGTGAAAGCTAAATACTGCTCTACTAAGATATTTTCAAAGTCCATCCAATCCACTAGTTAACCATATAGATGTCTGTCATACAGCTTGCTAACTATATTCAGCAGGTTAATAAGTCTATAGTTTTGAGGTAACTTTCTCTCACCCTTCTTAAATATAAGGATTATTATTGCTACTCCCCAATCTTTGGGAACACATGCAGTATGGTCAATAAGAGAAGCTAGAATCGGGGCCCACCATTTCACATTGTTCTTGATTAGTAAATACGTCACTCATTCAGTCTTGAATGTTTTATATACAGATAATTTAAGAATAACTTCTAGAAACTTTCATCAGTGCATATATTTGTGCATGAATGTACAGTTTTTACAAAACATTTACAGTCAATGGCATTATTGGAAATGCTTTTTAAAATTATATAAATTTAATTTGTTTTACAGAGTTCTGCAAAACATTCTGAATATGTTATACAGCATAGAGTAAGATGGAAAGACACACTCTCCTGCTAATCCTAGTTTTGAGTACTGTTTAACTGATTGAGTTATGGTTTTCCCTTATGGAAATATGCTGTACCCAACTGTCCAACTGCTGTCAATATAAGATATAGCATTAATATATCCAATTAAGTCACCAGGACTATGTAATGATGTACTCTTGTTTGCCAAATTATAGTTTTCTCTCTGAGAAATGATGCAATGTTTTAAAAAGTAAATAGTTGCTCATTGGCATTGCAACATTTTCATGATCATAAATACTCTGTCCTTCTCTTAGAAATGCAGTCACAAGATGATCTGAGCTTTGGTCACTTTTTTTCAAAACTAGGTGAAAGCCTGATAGTATCTTTTGCTTTAGGAAAAATGGGCAGTAACAATCCATATTCTGAAGAATTACTTCCCACTGAAAGAACCTAGCACCTGGCATAAATGAATAATTAGACAAACTTAAAACTGGATTTTGATTCTGAAAGTTGTTTCTTGATTTTTCATGTGTAAATTGAAAAACAAGCCTTTCCCTAATGTTGAAATTTAAGGATGAGAATGAATTAGAATTATAAAGAGTTTTGTAGCCTACTAAAAACACTCTCACATGCCAACTTGTTTAAAGCAAATGCTAAATTTGCTGCACCAACAAAACTGTAAATAAATGTTTTGCTTTCATAAGTTCCTTTGACTATTTTTATACTGTGGTGGTATAAAAATCTGGATATTAATTGATCCTCATTAAGGTCTTGTGTACTGACTGGCCTGTGTAATACCATATAGAAAGATTGATCAGAGGCAAACAAAGATTTCTTGAAAGTGTTTGAACAGGTTTTTCCACATCTGAAAAGTGTTTGAACAGATTCTCCACATCTGAAATTAATGAATGGTGGCAGAACTCAGAAGCATACTGAGAAGGGTCCTGATATGCATTCAGTCTCAGTAATTCACAACCAATTAAGATTATCTTGATGCTAACGTCTATATGCTGTTTAAGGAAAATAATGGATTTTTGAAACCTAAATGTAATTAGCGATTATAGAAATGAATTATAGACTTAAGGAAATTGACAGTAAATGATACACAAAAGGTTTCATTCTTGAAACATCTCATTTTGAATCTGAAATTTAAATAGCTTTGTTTTAAATGGAATGGTCAGAACAGTTGTTTCATACTTGAAATGGAATGTTTCACACATGAAATATTTAAAATTCAAAATTTGTATGTTACTAGTTAATAACAGTACAAACAAACAACATTTTAATTCATAATGTAATCCATTTGACTAATCTTCAAATTCATTTGTGATGATCATGCAGTACCTGGATTATTCACATGTACATACTCTAAAATTGATCGGTCTAGGACTCTTTCAATGAGAACTTCTTCTACAATATTTATGTCCTGAAATAAGAAGGAAAGGAAGTCAGACATTCAAGTAAAATACTGCAACAAGCAAAATCTTGCTTAGTAGGGAAAGAAAACAAATTTTTAGGCATCAATAATAACTTTATTTGCAATAATTAGATCACACCAAGCTTAGATATTTTAGGATGATATGCCCTTGGTTCTTCATCCACACATATAATCGGACAACCTGTAAACTGCATTTCCAAGCAAAAGAAACTTATAGTTGGATGTATTTCCCAATGAGTTCACAAACACAAAAAAGCAGAATTTTACAATTTTACAATGAATTCCTAGTATGCTTCTTAGAAATATTAAGAATCGTGAATAAAAGATTCAGGGAGCAACCAGATTTCTACCCTCCCTCTGAGCACTTTGCATAACCAGAACAAATTTTCTTAACATAACAGCAAGACATTTAGAGTTATGCCAGCACTGCTTCTCTACTGAGATTGTACGGTCAAGTGATTAGATTTTATGCCATCTTAAATATTTCAGTATACTGAATAACAAGAAATCAGTTGATGAGCTGAATTTGATTTAATGAAATTAATCGATGAGCTGAACTGATAAATCAGTGGCTTATGCTGACGTAATGAGCACCAAGCATTTACAGTAAGCCGATAGTTGGAAAGGGGAAAAATAAAAATACAGGGTAGGCTTTGCAGAATAGCTGAAAATGTGAATAAAGTACTCCACACTTGTTACTGGGATTAATTTATGTTACTTGTTCCTTTTTTGCCTCCAAAAAGTTTTTGCCCGCTAGTGCATTTCGCACACTAATCAATTATGTGGCAGGAAACAAGTGAACAAGATTTAATTTAATTTAATTTAATTTAACTTAAAGCAGTGAAGGGCGATTGAAAGATTAACAAAACATAGGAACATTTTCATCTATGGCCTTTGTTACTCTACATATATTTTTATTTTTGGTTTGTCTTACAATGGCCATACAGGGTGGGAATTTTGGCAGTTGAAGACACATATAGAGGGAACCCAAATTGGAGAAAGCTAACTTATATGTATATATTGTTACAATGCCTAATATGTGAAAACTTTGTAATTTTTATTTAATATACAGGTAGTCCTCAACTTATGACCATTTGTTTAGCGACCATTCAAAGTTACGATGGTGCTGAAAAAAGTGATTTATGACCAGTCCTCACATTTACAACCATTGCAACATCCCCATGGTCACGTGATCAAAATTCGGGCGCTTAGCAACTAGCACGTACTATATTTACGATAGTTGCAGCATCCTGGAGTGATGTGATAGCTATTTG